ACCGGCTCCCCGCCTGGCCACTGGCCTTCCAGCCAGCTCCCCACCTCCTGCTGGCCCCACTGCGCACCCACCCGCTGGCCAGCCATTGCTGCTGTGGCTCCACCAGGCAGCCTGGCGCTCGGGCTCCTTGGGCAGTCCCGTGCGCCGGGGTTTCCTGAGCAGCCCCATGCCTTGCACACTGGGGATACCCTGGGTTTAGGGATGTTATATGGCGTTTAATCAGCTAATCAATTAGTCGATGGAATTTCCATCAAATACTCAACTAGTCAATAGGCACTTCCGCATTCCTCCTTTGAAATGTACAAGAGCCCCAGTGTGCAGCCAGGGGCCAGGAGAGTAGGGCACCAGATTTGGGAGTGGGTCTGGGGGGGGTCCCCCCCCCCCCCCCCCCCCCCCCCGCAGCTCTGCCTTTTAAATGTATTAAGAGTTGCCAGGTCCCCTCCTCCCCCCAACCCCTGGCTGCACTTTAACCTTTTAGGCTCTTAATAAATTTAAAAAGCACAAGTGATCAGGCAGGAGCCTCTTCTTCCTTCCTCCAATCCCCCTCTCCCCCCAGCTCCTGCTCCCCCTGCCTTTCTCTGATAGAGGCAGCAAGGGGTGGAGAAGCAAATAGTTGTCAGTGGTTGTCTATTTGATAAGCATATACTTACTGGATAGTCGACTACGTCCCTGCCCTGGGCAGCCCCGCACATCGCATGCCGGGTTCCTTGGGCAGCCCCATGCATCTCTTGCCAGGGTTCCCAACCCCGCTGTCACGTGCTGGGTGGCCTCACTGTCAGCTCCCTATTGGCAGCCCACTGCCTGCCAGCCCTGCAGGGATTCTTACTGCTGGCCCTCCAATGGGACTCTCTGGTCCCACAACATCCGAGCCAAACCATGGATGTTGCCGATCCAGAGAATCCCGGTGAAGAGAGTTTCAACCTGTAGCACCAAGAGTGAAATAGACAGCACATCTAAACTTGAATTACTGTGTGGGTAAGTATCTTGGAATTTCCTAACTTTGGAGTGCTTGACTTTGCAACCTGCACGTTCTTTTCACGTGGCTCTTTGTATAATACAGAGGTTGGATAAGAGTCAGCATTTGTAATATGTGTGTGTATGCCTGTTTAGTTTGTTCATGCATGAGGTAAGAGCTAATTTTTGTACTGAAGACAGAAATAAACCTACTTCTTAAGCTTAACTAATACCAGTGCCATTTCAGGAAGACAGTGATAACTGTGCCATCCTGCAAGTCAAGTGCTTAAATTATTGTTTCCAATTTCATGCAAGCATCATTCTCTTAACTTTTTATCTATTTAATTAAATATTTTTATCCTCATTTTTGGCAGTGACCCAGGCTGCTTATCTTTCAAAAACAGGCCAGAACAAGTTCCACTTAATTTTATTCATCTAGAAAAATTACATTTGGAATTTTTCTTTAAATCCTTTCCTGTTTTTGTTTAAGCGGAATCGAAAACTAGATACACATAAATCTACTCATTCTCATGTTGTCAGAAGCCACAAGGAAAGTAATAAGGTGGCAGAGGTCAATCAGAGCCAATTTCACATAGGAAAAGAGATAGTTTCATAGCTAATCAAGGTTCTTTAGGTCATATACATCAGTTTTTCATTTTACTTAGACTCATACTAAAACAGAAATAAAAGTCTAATTATTTATTGGAAGTCAATATTCAATCTCACACCCGCACAGCTTGTTGTATCTATATGAACTTAAATTGGTAGTAGAATATCTGAAAAAAGGTGTTGTGTACTGAAGGACAAAGGGAAAAAACAGAAACCATATAGCATGCAATGAATCCAAAGTGCTAGTAATAAAGCATTCATTGAAAACAGAATTACTTCAGTAATAATGACAAATAAGTGTGTTTTTAATCCAAATGGTATAAACATTATACCAAAGTAATTCATTATTTTAAGCTGAACAACAATTAATCCGTAATTGCTCAGAATGCAACAATTCATCCAGAATTTGCAACAGAGCTTCCCTGCTGACAGCTTTATAAATCTGAGCATTTAAAAAAATAATTAAACCAAAAACAAAAAAGCATGATGACTTAAGAATTCATACGAGATCATGTGATGTTGATTTTATATCTTAGTAATTATGTCATTGAACTAAAAATCTCATAATAAGAAGTTTTTAAGGGCAAGTGCTATATAACCAAAACTAAAATTCTAGATTTATTATCCATTTGTTATATTATCACTGCTGAATCTACGTGGAAGTCAATGGGCATGTTGCTATACTTAAAAAATGGCCTAGTATTTAAAAATAAATAATAACTTAGAAACCAAGAGTCTTCTAGAGTTCAAGCAGTATTCATTGTTTTCCCCCTGAAGGAACAAAAGTAATCTTCTTTTACAACCATTGCGTGTCTTTAAACAAACGTTGCACATGAATGTTTCGCTGTCATTGACTCAGACTACACACTACAGTATGTGACAACTAGCAATAAGCAGTCTTGATACTGAGGGGGTGATTTGAGCTACTTAATACTAGATTAGCCAGAAAACACTAGAGCAAGTATGGGGCCGTCTGGTACTTGATGAAGAAGATAGTAAAGATAAAAGGCAAACACTGGGTATATTGCTCCACAGAGAAGACTGCATTTAGTTTGTTGTTTGGATTTTTTTTTTTTGCTTGTCTAGGATTTAGAAATCAATATTTTCTCTCTTAATTTTCCTATGGAATGCATTTACGCACAAGACTTTTATGCTCTTATTGTGTGAGTGAGTGTATGTATGTGTGTGTTCTGGCTGCAGCGAAAAAGGGTTTTGTTGTTGCTTTATTGTTGGTTTGCTGTGTAAAATAAAGCCACAATGCCTTTCTTTACTATGGAAAGAGCAAACACCAAAATTTTTTAAAATAATTTATCATAATTCTGTTGGAAAAGAAACACATTTTCCTGAGAACTGTTAATTTTTAATACAACTGAAGCCAGAAAGAGAAGATTGTGTTTAGATCTGGTTATATATAATGTATCAATATTAATATCTGATTAATTAATAATCAGTATCTCTGTGCTCACAGATGACAGGTAACTGCAAATACTCTCCTGTTTATGCCCTATCGTTCCTAGGTAAATAGCACCTGAAAACTGTTCTGAATCTTCAAAGCACTTAAGCCAGTACTTAATGACACTGTGCATGTGATTAAATGTTTAACTTTCCAGGATTTTTGTTGTTGGGATGTTCATTTATAAGTCACGCAGGTAAGGGTGTATTAAAAGATAGTGGTACATTTATCTGGTTTCATACACACCTATATATAGTTTTAAAGAAATTTCCTATAATTCATAGTTGGTACCCCATTGTCAGACAATTGAAACCAAGAAAAAAATAGTTGTTCCTTATAAGAAGAACTGATCCAAAACAAAACAAAAAAAACCAGCATTTTGAAAAGATTCATTTTTAAATTTCGTATTATAACATGCAAGTTTTTTAATCAATTAAAAAACTACTTAGCTCCAGTTATAAAAGCACATTTGAAAAACATCAATAATGCAAAATAAAAATCCAGTAATTTATTGTTAAAATCCAAATTCAAAATTTCATCATAAAATCTAATTACAGAAAATTTCAACTAGCTCTGTTATAGAGAATTATGGCCAGGATGTCATTCCACACTTCAAATTACAGACTTCAGCCACATTTGCTGCAGCCCACTATTCAATTCTAAACATACCTTAAAAATAAAATAAATGAATAATAGCACAAAGGTATTTCCCTGCCTCATGTGCTGGCTTTGCTCAAAAGTGACAGAATGGCTTTTGCTCAGGCTGTTGTAAGGGTGGGTAGGCGAGGTGATCGCTTTGTGTAGAGATCAAATATGACTCACCCTAATGTTTGCATTTCAATAAATTGTGAAAATGTAAAAATGAAAGGAAACAGGAGAAGTGTTCTAAAATGGAGAAACATTTTGCAGCCTTAACTGTCACAACCACTTCATTAGTGGTTGAATAAAGATTAAATTAGTAGTTCAGTTGTACGAGCAGGGACATGCCTTAGGAGAACAAGGTCACAGTCCTTTGTGCTACTTTTATATTAGTAATTAATTATATGATTTTTTAAAAATAAATCTTAATTTTAAACATATTAATCCATTCATTTTAAATACCCATTTAAATCTTCAGGGATACTGAAAAGGTTTGAGGGAATGGCCATTTGAACATGAATTCATGTCAACAATATACATTGAATTTTTTTTTACTTTTCCACAAACATTCAAAGATGTGTTCTGAATGTGTGTGCATGTGTTCACTTATGTATATGTATATATGAATGGATGTGTAATTAATTCAAAAGAATATTTTTGAAAAGCAAAAATTCAGTTAATATGCATGCATGTCTTTAGTCTTGTAGTATTCACATATCAGTCTCTTAAATACACTTTCTCTTGGTACTAAAGGTTGTCATCCAGTCATAGAATAGAAGGTGCATCATGTCAGCAATTTGACCGGTCACACGCAGTCATGCATATTCTAATCAGATAGCTCAGTAAACCCTTTTCAGAAAGTGGTTGATGGTAAATTTTGCATATCAAACACATTTGTAACATTCAGCTCCGTTCCAGTCATAAAAAAAAGGAAAGGTTTAGTGCAGTTCACGAAGTTCTATCTGAATAAAAAATATTAGCCCTAAAAAATCTTTCATGTTTTGCATATATACATGAATTACCAGTTTTCTAGGAAGCTGACATTGCTCCATGTTAGTAACCATGTAGACAAAGATACATGAATGCACCTGACATCTATGAATTAATCCTCTTTCATTTTCAACCACAGTAATTTTCTCTCTGAAAAGTTAGTATTTGTGAGCAAGCATTTTCTTTGATTGTTTCTCTGAAATAAAAATCAGTATATTTTCCTTTTGTTAGTTTTGACTTTAATGCTTTTGTTTCCTCTGGAGTGATAAAACACGACTCTGTTTTTAAAGTAGTCATTAACATTGACTTTCATTCACTTTCTTTTTCTTTTTTCTTTTTTTTTCCCCTCATACAGAGGATTACTGCTGCAGGAAAACGGCAGGTTTTCAGAAGCACTGCACTACTATAAATTGGCGATTGGTAGCAGACCCACTTTAGCATGTAAGTAATTCAGTAGGTGTTTAAAAATGTCTTTTCTTCCTTCATTTCTGAATGATTCTAAAACTAGAATGAGAGAGAACAATATATTTAGGATTGGAAGAATTAAATTTTAGTCATTTGAATTAATAATACCTGTTCTATTTTTCAACATTTTTTCAATTTTTATCAATTTTAATTTTTCACAATTGTGGGGATTATGGAGGTCTAAAACTATTTGATGACAATAGATGTTGAGATTCAAAATGTTAAAGTTTTATAACCATTAAAACATAATTTTTCAATATTCACAATATAGAAAGTAAATAGCCTTAAAACATATTCTAATATGTTCCCTATAATGCAGCATTTTTTTTTGCCAGTCTGTAATATTTTATAATTATCAATGGAAATATTTTACACGAGTTTGTCTATATGATGACATTGATGTTTACTGACATTTATCAACAAAAATCTAATTGGTCCATGCCTAGATATTATAAAGTCATATCCCATTTAATGTGTAAAGTCCTGTATATGTGAACAGATGTATTGATTTTCAATATTAAAATATATTATTTGCTCTTCACACCATTGTTCAGCATCTCTTCTCTGATAGATAATGAGCTACTGAACTGAAAACAATCCCATACCATTTACAAGAAAGGGCTGGTGAACCATGGACACAGTGACTCAAATGTATGATATTGATATTTGTTTTCTGATAGCTTGTCTCTGACTTTATGCGCCGAGTCACTAATACAAGCTTTTTGGAATTCCTTTTTTTTTTGTTTTTTTCCTTAATCGGGACAATCTTCTACTAGTAAGATCTGTTTTTATTGCCAGTGACAGATTCCAATACTATTCCTGTAGACTTTAATTGCAGATCATTGAGTCACTTCGGGATTCCCTTGATTGAATTTATTTATTTATTTATTTATTTATTTATTTATTTATGTGTGTAATGGAGGTAAGGTGGCTCTCAGTTTCTTACACTTTAAAAAAAAATCTGTCCAGTGTTATGTTTCTATGAAAGCATTGGCCAATCTTCAGGGAAGTCCCCTGGCCTTTGTTGTGCACAAGGTCCGACTGCATGATCATGGTGGTTCCTTCCCATTTTATAATCTGTGAATATGAATATCTTTTTGGTTTAAAACAGGTAACAGGTATGATGACTTAGTGGATCCCCACTAAAACATGTAATATGTGTTTATTCCCCTAACAGCTGCCTATTTAAATACTGGTATTATCCTCATGAATCAAGGAAAGATTGAGGAAGCCAGGAGGACGTTCCTGAAGTGTTCTGAAATCCCTGATGAAAATTTGAAAGATCCTCATGCTCACAAGAGCTCTGTTACCAGCTGCCTTTATAATTTAGGAAAACTCTTTCATGAGCAAGGACACTATGAGGTGAGAACGCACATTTTTCCTCCTGTGCAAACATCAACACTTCACCTCCCAAACCCACACAAATGTTCTTATAATAAATTACACCTATGATTTATATACAGTAGCACCTTTCCTCAACGATGTCAAAGTACTTCACAAATATTAACTGATTGAGCTGCTGGAATCCCCTCTGAGATTGGTGTGGGAAAATATTATTCCCCACCATTTACAGGGAGGGAAGAAGAAATGTAGAAGTGTTAAATAGCTTATGTAGTGATGCATAGCAAGATAGTGTTAAAGCCAGAATTAGAACTGATCGAACCTGCAGCTTTTTGCTTTCTGCAGTTTGGTCTGTGTCATGAGATTATTGTCATAAATGGCTGTGATATATCTGTAAGATACTGGTATGTGTGTCTGAGCCTGAAAAGCACAAGATGAGAATTTGTTACTTCCCCAAATATGGAGTCCATGGCTCTTTTGCTCAACTTGTGTACTTCCATGATTTTTGGCTTTGGAAGTACACAGTAGTTCAGTCACTGGTGACTCAGTAAATATAGTTGTCATTGCATATACATGTGAGAAGACTTCGGTTAAGTATTTTGTTAGTTGGAGAAATACTAAGGGTCTGGCTGGCTGGGTGGCAGTGCTTGGGTTTAAATAAACCAGGCATTTTCCCAGATAGTGCCCGCGATTCTGCACTTGCAGTTATGCATGCTTTGTCCTGGCAAGTTATGGCTGATGTAAAAGTATGGGTACACTTCACTAAGTACAGTTTTCTGTTGCCAAAAACTGAGCCCTGAGGAAAAGTTAAAAGCTTCAGTGACAGGCACAAACTGCAGGTAGCTGTGTGTGATCACAAGGCTTGACTATTAAATCTATTCTCATTTATTTCCTGTTGTGGTGTGCTGCACCCTGTCTTTCCTGTCCTGTTGACTGCACAATGAAGGAGTTGTGATTTTGTTCCCCTGGAAATTCACAATTGGATGTTAAGGAGTAAGCATGCATCCTTGTTTGCAATTATGACCTGTTTCTGTGTTCAAAAAAGAAGTCATGTTGTTGTTGTGCAGCCAGACATACTTTAGAACAGCAGTTGCATGAAGCTATGATCCATTAACTTTTCCTGATTGCAACAGATGAACTCCGCTGCTTAAGATTAAGTTCGCACATGCTGTTCAGAATCCTTTACATCCAGCTTCCTTTTCCAATTCTCTCAAATGACAGTTATTAATGTGTTAGATTTTTATGTCTACATTTTAACCAGTCTGTAAAGATAATAGAGCAGCAATGTACTATGTGGCTGTGCTGTGAACACAGAGTACTATATTTATTAGTGGTTTTTTTATACAAATCCATGGGTGAGCAAGGCCTTCAAAGGATAAATAAATGGCAGGTCTCTTCCTGGGGTGCTTATCTTCTAAAATGGACTGCACATGATCAAGCAATTATGTTTTGCAAAGGATTCTTACCACTCACAAAAAGTAAAGTTTTGATTGTGTGCAGTGAATGAGGGTCTTGCTGAACATCGAGAATGAAAACCACTACTGAGCAGCAGCTTTGTTCACGATGCATCTCCAGCCTGCCTGCTGTATGCAGTCATTCAATTCACGTATATAGCATACAGACAAAAGCACACAGGAACCTTAATTTTGGCTTTTCCTCCACTCCTGAGTGCTCCTCCTTTCATTGTTCAACCATGGTACTCCCATTGAGCAAAGAGTCAATAATGAGGAGCTGGATTCTATTGCCTATACCAGGCAATGATACTTTATTATGAGAGTACTTATTGTAGCAGTAATTTGAAAATCCTCTGCCCACTGTTCGATATTAATAATTTTGAATCTGTATGTAGATTAATGAACTTTAGGGAGTATGCTAACGTGTTTCATTTTTCCATGTGGAAGAAAGAGACACACTAATGGAAATAATTCAGTCTGGTGTTAAGGAACTTCACATCACTTGGTGATCCTAATAAATGAGAAATATGATCTTCCTACTGTATTAGTAATGAAGGCATTTATTTCATTTGTTTTTTTTTCATTCTGGGAATGTAGCTAGTATCTAATTCACGTGTGCAGAAGTGCTATGGAAAATGGTGCTTTAGTTATGTTTTTTCTTTCTCCTTTCAGGATGCCCTTATGGTTTACAAGGAAGCAATACAGAAAATGCCAAGACAGTTCGCCCCACAAAGTTTATACAACATGATGGGTAAATGCAATTTTAATATTACAGAGTGACATTCAAGGAGTCAGGGTGAAACTAGAATACTTAGTCATGCAACTGGAACCAAATTAATTTCTTTCAATAGATCTTAACCATAAATAAATTCCAACTTCAGAATTGAAGTGAAAGCAGTAGATTTTCTTGACAATATGAAGTAAATGCTTAAGCACATACAGGTCGCGCCTCCCCACAGACGTTCCTGTACCAGAGAGCCCCAGCAGCTGGGATTCGAACAGTCGGGAGCCCAGTGGGGTTGATGGCAGCATGGTAGGGGAACAAAGTAGCTAGGGCTGTGGCAGCTCAGTAGGGGAATCAGGGCTAAAGCAGCTCAGCATCCCAGGTGGGGAGGTGAGGTCACGGCAGTGTAGCAACCCAGGAAGGGAACTGAGGCTGCACAGTGCAGCAACCAGGCAGGAGGGCTATGCTGAATCACTAAGATTACTACAAGAGGAATATTTACATTGTATTATTAAATAGCATGTCTCAGTGGGCTCTCAATCCAATGTGGATGTTTTATAGCAAGGGCGGTGAAAAAAATTGAATAACGTGAGGAAACTGACCTGCCCTTTCAAAATGTTAATAGGAGCCTCAGTGCACTCTGAGAGTGATCATTTAAACCAGAGGTGGAGAATCTTTTTTGGGCCAGGGGCCATTGACCCACAGAAAAATCAGTTGGGGGCCACACACAAGCAAAAAACAAAAACAAAACCCAAACCCTCACTGATGTGGCCCCCAACTGAGAAAGACACCCCCACATTGCCCCCTCACCCACACGGGGGGCAGGAGCTGGAGCACACACCATCTGGTGCTGGGGGGGGGGGAGCCCTGAGCCCCTAGGCCTTTGGTTTCCCACTCCTCATTTAAACTGTGAGTTTTAGTTTCTTTTCATAAGAAGCTAAAGTGTTTTTTTTCTCTCATTCTTCAAAATATAGAATCATAAAATACTAGAACTGAAAGGGACCTCAAGAGATCATCAAGTCCAGTCCCCTGCATTCACATCAGAACCAAGCACCAAAATTCTAGACCATACATGACAGGTGTTTGTCTAACCTTCTCTTAAATATCTCCAATGATGGAGATTCCACAACCTCCCTAAGCAACTTATTGCAGTGCTTAAATACTCTTAAGAATTAGGAAGCTTTTCCTAACGTCCAACCTAAACCTTCCATGCTGCAATTTAAGCCCATTGCTTCCTATCCTGTCATCAGAGGTCAAGGAGAATTTTTTTTCTCCCTCCTTCTTGTGACACACTTTTAGGTGCTTGAAAGCTATTATATCTCAGTTTTCTCTTTTCCAAACTGAACAAACTTAGTTCTTTCAGGCTTCCCTCATAGGTCATGTTTTCTAGATCTTTATTCTTTTTTTTTCTTTTCTCTGGACCTTTTCCAGTTTCTCCACATCTTCTCTGAAATTTGATGCCTCCAACTCCAGTTGAGGCCTAGTCAGCATAGTGTAGAGGGGAAGAATTACTTCTCATTTCTTGCTTACAACACTCCTGTTAAAAGTGCTAAGTATAAATTCAAAATGAAATATTTGCATTACCATGGTGATAGCATAACTTGTTTCTGATTCTCTATAAACCACACTCACTTGGGCAAGTATTTGTTTTTGTCACTTTTGTGGATACTTGAATCTCATGAGATCAAACCAATAGCTAAAAGTCTTTTGGGCTTATTTTTGTTGAGAAATGGTCTAGGTTCTGTAATCAGTAGACCAGTTTTATTTGTCAGCTTGCCTTGATTATTCTATCAAGCTTATCAACAGCCATAATGTTGTAATACAAATTACACATTTGCTTATTATTAATGCCCAACAGATACCTTTAACAGATAATAGTGTCTACATAGAGCATGACAGGTCAGACTCCCCTTTTGTGTGCAAAAGTATAATTTCAAAATCTTGAAAGTTTTGTTTCCAGTAATGAAAGTTGCAAAATTGTAGACAAAACTGTTCCTGGTAAGACAGATTCTGTAACATAAAACGGATGAGTTACTCTTTCCTCCTTTTTTTTTTTTTTTTAGAGTGATCCTATAAAATCATTGCTTCGCAGACATATATAGACTTCTGTTTTATATAGAAAAAAATGCCAAACTCTGGAGAAGGCAGATCCGACTTACGTCGGATCCGCAGTTACAAACGGGGTTCCTCTCCCTGGTCTCCAGCAGACCAGGGAGAGGAAGCAAAGAGGCGGAACACGTGGGCAGC